CCCCCACGTTTGATTTTCCTTTTTTTATTTCCTTCTCTTTTTTGTTCCGACCCTCACCAAGGCTGGACACGGTCTCGGTACGAAACCGCTGCCAGCGTCGGTACCGGGGGTTCCGCCACTGGGACTGGAGACGGAGACATGGTATGGTACCGGTTCTGGTGTTAATTTTTTGTGACCCGAACCGGAGATACCGGTACAGGTTCGATCTAAATTTGACTTTGTTTTTCTTTTGTTGACACATTTAAGTGATTTAACCACTGGTGGACTGTGGGGAGCGCCTCTAACAACTCTAAAGCCATTTAGAGGGGGTGGGGGATATTTTTTTACCTATAAATACTCCCTTTTTTTAAATTCACTCTTCAATATCACTTTCTTAAATCTTAATCTCTCTTAATCTCTACGAAATTCTCTCAATTATAATTTATATATTTTATATTTATAAATATTATATAATATAAATAAATAATCATATATTGTTTCTATATTATATTATTATATATTTGTATTATAATATATTTCGAAATTCGAATATATTTTATTATTAATATTATAAATTTAGAATATTATAATATTCTAAATTTCTAATATATTATCCTTTTTTTATCAATATAAAATATATTAAAATGTCAAGGAAGTCTGGTAGAAGGCCTGTATATATGAGCGTTGTGAATCGAGGACGTTCTAACAAAGGCAAAGTCATCGTCACCTTCGAAGGATCGAGCTCATGCGCTTCCCAAGGAAGACACACTGTCTCTTCCTTTCCAACAATCTCTCATCAATTCATGTGCAACGCTATGACTGATCAAGAATCCGACCAGTATTTGGGAGGTAGGAATGACGCCAATCTTCAAACTCTTGAAGATATATTCGAGGACATTGAAGAGGAGGTGGAACAAACACCCCGAGAGCAAAGATCCTACCGACGAGGAGAAAGGTGACCTCGAGACCTTTGAAGGTCCGGGGAAAGGTAAAAAACCTAAATCTGATTTATTTGTACACCATTTTAGAAAAGATACAAAAAATGACAAAGATTTTGGAACTTGTCTTCATTGTGAGGCAATCATAAAAATGGAAATTTTTAGGGGTTATGGTCGACCAACCAAACACCTCAAAGCAAGGCACCCCATGGAGAACGCCAAATACATGATATAAAGAATGGTAAAGTACAAACCCAAATTTCTGGATTTGCAAAGAAGGGTAAGATCGGCCTCTTTGTTTATAGTGAAGAGCAAAATAAGTAAAAAATGGCCAAAATGATTTGTGAGGAAAAAATTTACCATACATGTTTTCTGAAAAAATTGGATTTATTGATTATTGTCAAACCGCACTAAACCCTCAAGCAAGAGGATTTTCAAGAAAAATAATTAAGAGAAATATTATTAGACAATATAAAGTTGAAATAAATTGGCAAAATCTAATCTCACTTTACTTCTCGTGTTATATTTGTTCTGATATTTGGAGTGAAAAATGTCATAATTTGTCTTATATGGGTGTTACATGTCATTAGATAGTGATTGGAATATGTATAAACGTGTCCTTGCATTTCGTGATTTTAATTAATCTCTATATGTGATAATATTTTTCTTTTGCTTGAGCCTATTCTCCAAGAATACAATTTACTTGATAAAGTGTTTGCATTTGGTTTTGATAATGCTACTAATAATACTGTTGTCATTCTTAGACTTAGAGAAATTTGCTGCCTAGCAGTGCTATGGGTAGATTTCTACACCAAAGGTGTGTCTGTCATGTTTTAAATTTGTATGTTCAACAGGGATTACAAGCTATGTGGGGAGTTTTGACCAATATTAAGGGTGCGTTAAGAAAGATTTGGGCTAGTCCTATTCATTCGAAGGCATGAAAGTCTTGCAGTAAATCTAGGAATTTAAAACTAATAAAATTTGTTAAAGACATTACGATTAGATGGAATGGTACGTATAAGTTGATTCCACATATTTTGGACTATCATCTTAAAATGGATTATCATCTTGAAAAAAATTACAAAATCTCATGCCTTAAATTTATTATATTTAGAAATTGAAGATAAGTTATACATATAAAATTTTGGATGAATAAAGTGAGCCAACTATTTTGTTATTAACAAAATTAAATAGAATAAAATATTTGAAAAATAAGGTGAAGCATCATTTGAAAAAATTTGGTCTAAGAGTTGAAGGTGAATGGAAATTGAGAAATGAGTTGAATGGTGGCATAAGAAAATTGATATGAATAAACTGATCCGAACCGATTATAACATATATCGGAAAGATATCCAAACCGAAAAAATCCAATCTCGAACCGATCCGGTACGCTTGACGCGATTGCCACCTCTACTTGTTTGCAATCGAGATTGGCTCTCTTGGCAAGACGTTGAGTTCAAGAGTCAGGATACGACATTGATGATGAAAATTACATGAATGCTACCACATAGGGAAGCCCTAGTTCTGAGGAATAAGTAAATAACTTTTTTTTAATTGTAATTAGTTTTTTTTAGGTGAGCAGTATATAAAATCTTTCAAGAGTTTTATTTACGATTCTTTACCTCGTCGTTTTTTTGAATCGTCAGGATTTTAAATGTTGTTTTTGTACTATTCATTTTTCATTATTTAAAAAACAACTAAATTTTTAGACATTCTAATTCATAAAAATTAAAAAATTATAAATTTCTTTTGCTTTTACGCTTACACATTTATAAATTATCACAAAAAAATATTTAAAAAAAAAGTGAAGGCGGAACAAACCTGGCCCGGTGCCGGAATCACAGGTGCGTGTACCGGCGCAGCCACTGGTAACGGTGCAATGGGGTGGCGGTACAGAACCGCTGGTTCTAGCACCCGAACCGGACCAAAACCATACCGTGTCCACCCCTACCCCACCCAACGCCACGTTTTTTTCCTTCTTTTTCTTCCCTTTT